AGAAGAGGGAAGATAAAGAGAGAAAATTGAGGAGCAAAAGATAGAGGGAGAGAAAAGGGAAGATGAAGAATATATCATTGATTTGTTGAAACTGTAAGACCTATGCTATTCTATTCAGCTGCTATCACTAAACCATTTTGTTTGTGTGTGTCTATCTATATATTGTTTGAAAATAATAATAATAATAAGTGTGGTCATTATCTATTTGGCTTGGTTAAAATATGTATATACATATATATTTAGGCTCTTATTTATTCTTACTTTTGTTATTATTTATCTTATATATAATAGTTAGTGATTGATTTTTTGTATAATATAAAGTCATTACTTATTAAAATAAAATGTAAAAAACTCAATTTATAGTGATTTAAAAATATGAAATATATTAGATCATATTTAAAAATTTACAAAAATTGATTAATATTTATTTTTAACCCAATAAATATGATCATGGAAAAAATATGTGTATCAGTAAGTTTAAATAATTAAAATTTAATTTTTAAATTGAATAATAACTTAAATTATGTTTAAAATATCTATTTTTAGGAGAGCTACATAAAAAGAAGCTTTTGTGTTGTAATGTTATTAATTGCATGTTTTAAGTTCTTTATAGAAAACACATGTCATAATTTAATTGGTAGAAATTAAATAAGAATACAATAAATTATAAAATTATATTTACGATAAAATATTAAATGTATATATACATTTTGTCCTTTAGTTTTGTGTAATGTTAGTTTATCAATATACTAATTAGTCATCGCCTATTTTGTAAAGTCTAAAAATTTGTTTACTTAGGCATAAAAATTTTTCTAAAAATTTTATTTGGACAACTTAATTATAGTCCAAAGGCCTACATTTTTTATTGTATTTGTTTGAAAATATGTGACCATTTTAATGGCTAATATCTAAATCCCATATTTGTACGGTAGGTAGCATAGTTCCTGTTTGAGAAGATGAATGGGAAAGTTTTGATTGTGTGGATTAAATGATAATTGTAGTTAAAAATTGAAACTCCATTTTTTTCAATGTTATTGAATTTGGTCTCTCCATCTGGCAACTAATTTAAATCTCATATTAAAGAATGAAAACAAATCGTAAAAATGATATGAGCCTACCCTTAACAAAATTGATAGGCCAATATTCATAATACATTGGATACTGAAGCAACTATCTACTGTGATGGAAAGAAAGTTGTAGTCGTGAGGAGTGAAAATATTTTTGTGAAAACCTCTAAGCTAAGACATGAAAAGGCCAAAAAAATGTTCAAGATGCTTAAAAAAATATAATTGAAGTATTAGACATCTATTCATCTGTTTGAGAACTTTATAAGATCAAAAGAGTAGCCTAAATTTATTATGAGTGAACGCAAGAAAATGAATATTTGCACTTCTGAAAAATAAGCAAGAATCTTGCGTGTAGTTCACATGAGGAACGAAACCAAGGAGGACTCGCATGGCAGATAAAACTAAAAGAGGATGATGAAGCTAAAAGAGACTCAGAGAAATACAACAAAGTGGATCACATGAAAACTAAATACAAAATGAATCACATGATGCATATACCAATAAAAATCTATTATCTTTTAGTTTTAATAATTGAGATATGTAAAGGTTTCTTTATCTTGTTGCAAGAATCTTACCGTATCTCTTAATTTTGTATATTTTAATTTTGCAATTACACTCGGCTCTTTACTTATGAAAGGGTTTGACTATTTGTAAAATCAGAGTCAAGAAGTAGAATCTTATAAGTGAGTAAGAATTATTTTCTATTTTTCTTCTAATCTCTAAGTATTTAATAAAAGTTTGTTTTTCATTTTTCACAAACACTTCATCTCATGTCTTTAAGTTTTTTAGATGTTTGAGAGTAGTGATAAAAATAAAATAATATTCACAGAGTGTAGGAGATTAAGCTTTTATTTATTTATTTATTTATTTTGATCAGTAAAGAAAAATTTCATTAATCAATATGAAATTAAAGGTACAGGAAGATGAAATGCACTGAGAGAGATTCGGAAGGTACAAAATACCCCTACTACTATTACTCGCAACCATACAACCAACCCTTTGGCCTCACGATTTTTTTAAAAACATAAAAGTTAAGAAGGACTTAACAGTAATAAAAATATATGATTCCCCACAAAATCAACTCACCAAAATACCCAAGCAGCTCTTGCAATCCTCTAAACAACAAACTAAAAATAACTTTTCTAACACCCAAGCTGCACTCCCAAGGCCAACCACCCAACTGAACACGCCACCCACGCCTATGTTTCTGCACACACCTACGCCTATGATGCTGCACTCCCAAGGCTAACCACCCACCTGAACACACCTCATACACCACGCCAAGACCCACACCTAAGCTGATGCACTCCCAAGGCTACACAATGCCTATGCTGCTGCACTCCCAAGGCCACACCACCGGAAAACTCCATAGCCAACGACCAACGACCAAGGCCACACCACTGGAATCAACCAACGACCAACCAACGCCTGACAACACTATACCATGCATCTTTTCAACGCCCACCTGCTTCACTGCCAAGACCCATGCCCACCTGCTTCAACTCCCCACGCCTGCTGCACGTTCTGCCGATCCAACCGAGGATGCTCTATGGCCGGAAAACTCCATAGCCAACACACCACAAGCCTCCGTACACACACAGAGCCCCAACCCCAGTTTTCGGCCGGAACACACCTCCATCCATTGATTATCCCAAACTCACCCACGCCCCCTTGTCCAACCCCTTGCTGGCCAACTACTTCGTAACGTCCACCTCTGTGCCGACTCCTCCCTTCACACAACCGCTACAAAAACTCGTAAGATGACGATCCAAACACCGATCAACCACTGAGACACCTCCAAACATCTGGACGAAGATCACCCCTCAAACTCTCACTTGAAGAGGAGCGCTCGAATGAACACCAGACAGAACTATGGTAGAAGCAAAATGACACCCATGATACCCCCAAACAAAGCATCAATACTACCAGGGCCGGCCCTGAGTTCGTCGGGGCCTAAGGCGAATTTCGGAAATTGGGGCCCTTTTATATTGAAAAAAAATTCATGAATAAAACGATAAGTTATAATTTTTTTATTTGTTTGCAACCATAAAAAAATTTACTTACACATATAATTATTAAAATTATAAATAAAACAATTTAATAAAACAAAATTAGAACAAAAAAATTAGGAAAAATTATTCAATTAAAATTGTTAAAGACCTAGGTAAAAAAATTTGAGCAAAATTATTTATTCCACTAAAATCTAATAGATAAAGAAGGTAAAAATAAAAAATAAAAAAAATAGGGCCCATATATTGTATGTATTATTTTTCTTGAGCCCAAACACTTTTTTTTTTAATATATATTTTCATTTTAATAAATATGGTCGCTCACAATGTGCTATGCTATGCTCTGCGTCTGTCTGCCTTCAAGTTGGTGTACATAAAAGTCTTTCATTTCATTTCATCACTTCGTTTCGTTAAAGAGAAATTGAAAACAAAAGTACTCACCACACTAGCAGTGCACTGGACATGTATTGTATATTGTATTTGTATGTATGGTTTAGGTTGGGCCCAAACACATTTTCAGTTTTTTGTTTTTTATTTATTTATTTATATATTTTCATTTTAATAAATATGGGCCAAACATATTTATAAATAAATATGGGCTAAATTATACATGGACCCAATAAAACATTTGGGACTCTTTAAATTGATCTTAAAACCAAAAAAAAAAAAAGTTGAACCTATAACAATTTTTTAAATTTGGGGGCCCTATTTTTGGGCCAAAATATGGGGCCTAAGGCACAAGCCTTACCTGCCTTAGGGCAGGGCCGGCCCTGAATACTACTCCATAATTCTGAACCATAGTTCACCCCTCAAGCTCCGACTCGCGAAAGAGCTCACGAATGAAGATCCTAACCACATTTGGACGTCCTCTAGCCGGTCCAAACCAACCTCCTCCTCTATAATGGCCCTTGTTCCAGGCATTCCCTGATGATAACAACACACCACGACTCTGCAGCAGCAGCCCACAAAGCATACCAATGTGGGAAAATAATGGGGGAATCAAGTTTATTAAAAGAAAATTAACAAACAAACACAAGAAAAAACTGGGCCAGCCAACCGCCATAGCCGAAGGCGGCGGCCGACCTGGAACAGATGAATAGATGAATTAAGGTAAACATGAAAAAGAACCTTAAAGTTAGTACGTGATAATTTTATAAATATTTAGTATTTAAATCTAAGTTTAAAAATAATATGACTGTAATTTGTCTAAATTTAAAAATAATATGACTGTAATTTCTTTTATAATAATATAATAATAATAATAAAGTGAGTCCTTTCCTTTGTCATTTCCTTGGGAGAAATTATAATTTGTTCTAGGAACAAATTCAAATGGTGCTTCAATATATATTTTATTGATTAAAATAGTGAGTTTCACCACTTTTTGTATCCTATAAAGAAATGACATGATAAGTTTCATGATTTGTGTGATGCACAGGAATGTTCCTCGACAACTAAATAACTACCCTTTCCTTGGTGAGCTTGGCATCATTTAATTTTATTTTTTAAGCAAATCACAAAACTGAGAGCATCTTTATAATAGGGGAAATTATTCAATGTTTTTAGAACATTACTCTTTTTTACTTATAGGTTAGACACATAATTAATTGTCTGCTATAAATTTCACACAAAATGGTGGGCCATATAATTTAAATTAATAATTATTATTTTAAAACGTCACTTAGCAATTTTTCAGAAATATTGAATAATTCCTCCTTGTGAGTGTTTAGTGCAATCTGTAGTGTGTTTTTTGTTTTTTAAGCGTACCACGTTAAAAAAATAACGGAATGGACAGCTGAGATCTATTATCAAAACGACGTAGTTTTATTTTGTTTTTTGTTTTTCACGTTTGTCTTTCCGTCAGATTTTCTGTGCCGATTTACAGCTTCTCGCCGGCGGCCCGTACTCTTCAGCGACTACAGCAATACCCCAGATGCGACCAACTCCGGCGGAGAAAACTCGACAGAATCAGACGTCTGGTCCACCACCACCACCGGCGAAGACGACAGCGAGGCAGGGATCTCTTTCTCAAAGCTCTTCATGAGAGCGAATCCAAATCGCAAATCGTTGTGCACAGATACGAGTCATCGAGATTGCACAAGAGATTGTTCTTAAGTTTCTTCACCTAAGGTACCTCTTTCCTTCTCTCTTTCCGATGATCTTCTCCTAAAATCATGGAAATTAGCATTTAGTTTTTTTTTTTTTTAAATTTCTGATTGTATATCCCTTTGAAGATACATCACTATATATATTCAATTCAAAACTTGTTTTAAGGAAGTGAAAAGGAAGGAATTAAATCTGTGAGATAAGTATATATATATATATATGGTAAAGAAAGAGAGGATCTGGGTGACGGGGAGGGGAAGATGAGGGTCGCTGGAGCTCATGTTTCGCCGGAAAGGGGAGGAGAAGGGAAAGAAAGGCAAGCGAAGGGGAAGGAAATTTTTTTTGTTTTTTTTGGATAAAAAAACGATGTCGTTTTGGGCCCAAATCTCAGCCATCCATGTCTTGCTGCTTTTAACCGCCTGCAGAGGATGTGCACGCAAACCGAGAAAACCACCCCCGGCTATTTTGTGTTTGGAAAAGTGAATAAAAAGTTGATTTTTTGATTTTTTTTTTAGTTTATTTTATTTTTTTGTAATTAAAAAATGTGAGAGATGATGTGACTCAAAATAAGTAAAAAGTTAAAAATTGACTTTTTTTTGCTTCTCAATATGCATCAATTAATGTATACATTAATATATCAATTAGTATTATATCATTATTATTGACCATACTTATTATATAAATTACAAATGCTTAAAATCTCTTCACAAACTGTTATACCAATTAATCCCACTTTTATTCTTTTGTTTCGTTTAGTCCTACTGGTGGGAAAATTTGGTCCTTTTTTATTTTATTTTCCATTTTTGGTTTCACTATGTGGACGTTTGTGCCCTTGTGGTAATTGGGAAGTGTTTTGCAAGACCATTTTTTGTCTGGAAACATTGTAGTTTTGGTTTGGCTAATTTGAATGATACATTCAAATACATTTCAGTCATTGACAATTAGGGTTTTGTGAATTTGAATACGGTGTTTTTGGTGTCAGCTGTGTGACACACTGGTTGGTTATGTATATGGGGATAAGCAACAAAAGAAATTGTGTAAGGCCCCGGTGTCCTACATCGGGAATGGAGGGGGAGTTCCTGGGCTATAAAAGTAAAAACTTGGACCCTTATATAGCATCAAGGCTTTTTCCCAAGTGGTGAAATCCCTATTAGAACTTCCCAGTTAAGCGTGCTTAGGCTGGAGTAGTTCTAGGATGGGTGACCCACTGGGAAGAACAAATCCGTGCGGGCGTGCCCCAAAGCGGACAATATTGATGATATGTGAAGGGTTGGGACGTTACAAATGGTATCAGAGCCAACTCTCCGGAGTACCGAGTGTGGGCCCTCGGCGTCTCTCAATGTATGTGGGCGGGCTTGCGAGCTGGCAGGCTACTACAAGGGGACGTGCAGCCTTATGGGGGGTGGATTGTAAGGCCCCGGTGTCCCACATCGGGAATGGAGGGGGAGTTCTTGGGCTATAAAAGTAAAAACTTGGACCCTTATATAGCATCGAGGCCTTTTCCTAAGTGGTGAAATCCATATTAGAACTCCCCAGTTAAGCGTGCTTAGGCTGGAGTAGTTCTAGGATGGGTGACCCACTGGGAAGAACAAATCCGTGCGGGCGTGCCCCAAAGCGGACAATATCGATGATATGTGAAGGGTTGGGGCGTTACAAATTGTGTCGGTTGGACAGTGATGGTTGGGACCACGTATAGTTGTAAACAATGATTTCTTTGTAGGATTAGGTATGTGTGGGTATGCGTGGGTTGGGCTTTATATATTGTTTATACTGCAGGGGCATTAAGGGATATATTTTTAGTTTATGTATGTCTAGTGTGGTAGTTTGTTGAGTTCATGGGCCATGGTTTGACAATGTGACGGTGGGGTAATTGAATTTCTTTGGGTTTTTTTATTTTTATTTTTTTGTGTTGTTGGTTTGTAAGGTAGTGTGTGATGTGTATGGGAATTAACTGGCAAATAAGTTGTGATAGTGGGACATTGATGGTGGGGGTCACATATAGTGGTAAACAATGATTTGGTGGTGTGTGTTGTGAGCTGGTTGGTTATGTATATGTGAATAAGTGCTCCAATTGGTTGTGTTAGTGTGACATGGATGGTTGGGGTCACATGTAGTCAATTGGGTTGTGTGCCTTGTGTCAACTACCAAACACACCAGTTAAGCCCAAAACATCCTTATGCGCTTCGACCTTTTGTGATACCCCCTCTATGTATCACGTGCCACACACACCACACATCCCTTTCTTATTTACCCGCGTGTGACACACGCACCTAACCCAAAGCCCACTAACCCAGCTGTAACTGATCTACTAACATGTAAATGAGGGCATTAACGTCCTTCAAAAAACCCCAGGACTAAATGGTTCATTAGAAAAAAAATGGGACTAATTGGATCATAAGATCAAATTTTAGGATTTATTGATAAATCTCACTATCTGTTAGTATATTAATTAGTACATTAAATTATACATGTAGCATTATTCAAAAAAGATAGAAAACAAAAGAATAATGTTTTATGTATCAATTAGTGTACTAATATATTATATGACATCATTTTAGAAGTTTTCAATATTTATAATGTGTGTAATAAATGTGGTCAATAATAATATTATAATACTAAGTGATACACTAATTAATAATACATGTAGCACCAGCAAAAACAAAAAAAACAAAAAAGTCAATAACACGGTCGCAAACAATGACGCACAAGCATCAATAAATAAAAACTATGTGTAATATTATATATGCGACCTATATTTGGGTTTAAAATTCTAAAATTTCTTCTTATTTTACGTGATAAATTTTTATATGTTAAAATAAAAAATTATTATATTACAATGAAAATAAGATTTGAATCTGCCATTTTAAATTTCATTAATAACTCATATCATATATCTTTAAACAACTTATAATATTATGCTATTAATTTTTATTTATTTTTATTACAATACTATGATATTAGTTTTTTTTATTATTTATTTTTATTTTTCGTATGTAAGGCCAAGTTTGGGAAGACTAAATAAGTGTACTTTTTGACTTTTCTTATATTATGTGTAGAAAAAATAGAAAAGAGATTTTGATTGATGTGATCCAAAAAAGATAAAAAGATGAAATAAGTGCACTTTTTTAGTTTAGCCAAACTTGGCCTAAATTACACACGCTAAGATATAGCACACAAATAATATCTGAGAGAGGATGCATGGGAGCCATTAACCAATTTCAATTGTCATTCTCACAGAGACACAGAGAGAGAACTAGAGAGAGAGAGAGAGAGAGAGAGAGAGAATGAGCGGGCAAGGGAAGACAGTATGCGTGACGGGAGCGTCAGGGTACATAGCTTCATGGCTGGTTAAGTTGTTGCTCCAACGTGATTACACTGTCCGAGCCTCTGTTCGCGACCCTTGTCGGTTCTCTCTCTCTCTCTCTCTCTCTGTTATTTTCAATATTGGGTTATAATCTTTAGTTCTTGTAGTGGTGACTTTAGTTATCTTGATTTTGTTGAAAATAGATCATTCTAACATTTCCTATGCACTTCAATCTTTCATTCGATTATACCAGTTTATTGCTACTGGAATTTTTGGCTTCTGCATTATATAATTTTGGGTAAATTATACTTAACATGCCTGTACTTTTTATTAAAATCTTACATTGGTTCCTTACACTTTCAATCAAGTTTCAATTTCACTCTTCTATTTATCTACCCTTAATAAGTTAAAAGAAATTGAAATTGAAATTGAAAGCGGAGAGGCTAAAGTGAAATTTTGGTGAGGGTAAGGATTAAAGTGAGGTTTTAGTAAAAGTGTTAAGTTTTAACAAGACAATAAAAATGTCACACGTTCTTCAAATGACAGGTTTTGCCAATTTTGTTAACGGTAGATGGATAAAATGGTGAGATTACAACTTGACTTAAAGTGTAGGGGTGTGACTATTACAATTGAAAGAGACGGAATTAAAGTGAAACTTTTGTAAAAGTGCAAGAAGTACTAAGTGTAATTAAACCCCTAATATTTTTGGATGAATTTGTGTTGTTTGGAGATAACGGGTTGTTTAACTATTTACGGAATTTCTTATGCTATTTGTGTATATGCTCACAGAAATTTTTAGTTCCTAATTGTGTGTAGTAATTGCCAATATCACTCTAATATTGTTAGGTCATCACTCCATGTTTAGAGAAGTAATTAATGGATACTTCCAGAGAGTACTATGTGACATTGCCTTACATGATAGACCTTCATCAATGGTTGTGAATCACTTTTTCAATCTTTTCGACCTTGGTTCCTTAGGAGCAAGTCAAAAAATTAAGAAATAGAACCATTGTCCAAACCAAACCAATAGCGTAGCAGAAAATCTTACGAGTGAGACATGGTGACTCACCTTTGTTAGGTAGTTAGGAGATGTGAGATGACACACTTTGTGTGGGTTGTGGTTTCCCATTGGTCAGAAGCACCACATAGGCGATACTAAATTATGCTACAGGACTATCCAATAATTTTATTGTTCTAAAAAATATGTGTCATCATCGATCCAGCTTCAGAACTCATCATAAATTGTATCCTAATTGATAGATTGATTGTAGCAAAATTCTTTCATACTTGATTTAAAATAAATCATCTTTATAAAATACTGATGAAGTGAAATCGGACTCTGAAATTAGGAGAGAAGCTTAGGTCACATTTGCCCAAGGAATTGAAGTTTAGAAGTCAGGATTCTTACTTAAATCGCCTAAGGTTGTTTTTTTTTTTTTAATTTTTTTTTTGCAGTTGTCTTGATCTCATGGTCTGGTAGGAGCAATAACCATTCTAAACCCAGGATGTTACAAGGGTTTTGCTCCAACATTATCTCAAACTGAATTGGGTCTGACCTCACATCATCATCTAGTGAATTGGACGGTAGGAAAACAATAGAACTGTTTTGACCTCAATGATTTGGATGACTTTACTAGGAGGTAGACTCTGTTAGAGTGGTAGTGTGGATTGTGATAATTATGGGCCTTAGGGAGGTGTGGATTCCCAGACACACACTGCACTATATACACATAACCAAGTCCATGTTTTGTAGTTAGCACTTTTTAGTTCTTTTTCCTGTTTGAAAAAAGAAAGAAAGAATGATAGAAAAATGGCAGGCACTTATATGCAAAGGTTAAATTACACAAATAGTCCCTAAAGTATACTTACTATTTCATTTTGGTCTCTAATCTTTAATTTGTTTCAATTACATCCTACACTTCACACACTGATTCAATTTGGTCCCTTCTTATATATGCCATAAACTTTAGACAAAATTTTTGGGATCATGCTTAAATAAGCCTTATATTAAGCATTTAAAAGGCATTGCATTGAGGAATTTATTTCATCTTATTGCCTAAATGAATAGCAGACTCATGAATTTAATAGAGGATAACAAAGTTAGTTTTAAGAACTGAAATACATACCATAATGAGGAACATAGCCCTCTGATATGTTGCAACAATAAGATAATTTTTTGTTGATTGAATTTCTAATTTGTTGCGTTTGCTCCTAAAAATCTTCTGACTCTTGCACTTTTAATTTGCAGAGTTAATCCTTAAAATCTCCCTAAAACCTCAATTTTTCTATACTGCATGCAACCCTAATCTTCTATCCATTATTCGATCAATGTTATTGGGCATATATATTCTGTCTAAACTCCACTGCATTTATAGGAAAGAATCATGTTTGAATCAATGTGTAAAGTTTAGGGATGTAATTGAAACAAATTAAAGATTAGGAGCCAAACTGAAATAGATGGTATACTTTGGGAACTGTTTATGTATTTATCATATGCAAAATTATTATACTATTTGTGCTCTTTTATAAGCTTATAAAACTATAATTTTCCATGAAAATGTATGAATTGATATAAATTTGTTCAAGTAGAATTTAGAGGATTGAATCAAGACTCGCATTTTAATCTCATATTGTGCTCTACTTGAAAATGCACCTTTTAATGGATTATGGTTGAGTTACCAGTTTTTCACATTTATTTAATACTTGGTAATAAAATGCAGCTAATCCGAGGAAGACGGAACACTTACTTGCACTGGATGGAGCTAAGGAGAGACTTCACTTGTTTAAAGGAAATCTACTGGAAGAAGGTTCCTTTGATTCTGTGGTTGATGGGTGCGACGGTGTTTTTCATACAGCATCTCCATGTTTTATTACAACTTCTGATCCACAGGTACACTTCGTATTATGTTTTTTCTCTTTTATTTTATTTATTTATTTGTTAAACAGCCATACATCAACACGATACAGTGATAGACTGCCAACTGTTGTGGTCTCAAACATTGTTGATTATGTAATGAGTTGTGCTTTCCATTGGACCTTTCATATAATGGTGTAGGGAGAAGTAAAAACTCCGTGTTGTGCAATGTACTTCTCAAACCAAAACCTAAACTCATTCAACATGTTCAACAGACCAATCTACCTGAGATCTATTGAAAAATGAAAAATGAAGAAGGAAAAAAGGAAAAAGAGAAAAGAAAGAAGTTATTGTTGCCTACAGGGAAAATCAAAACCTAAGCTCCTCTAACCCATTGACCAATTTGGGGTAATCTGTTTTTAAACCTCCTTCAAATTGACAAAAATGGCTAAATTTATCTCAAACATTGCTCTATGACATAAATAAAATTGGGGGAATAAGTCAGAAATATGTGTAGGTTGGGAAGTAGGCTTCTGTTTGTAGTGATTTTACCGACATTTGAAAGTGAGCCTTATTCTGGACACTAACTTTTGTTTTCCATCCTCTCTGCCAACTAGATCAGTTTGTAGATGCCCTTAACTGAAGATAGTAACTAGTATATAAGAACCACTTTATACAGACCTATTGCTAAATCAACTTGAGTACCAATTGTCCCAACTAAGAATGGTTCAAAAAATTGATTAGTAATTGATTCAATTTAGATATCAGTCCTGGCACAGAGTACGGTGGATTTACGATCAGATGGGATACGACCATACACATGTGATGGAAGATTCTTCAAAACTTGGTTATATATAAACAATTAAAAAATTCATTAATTACACAGGTCACATAAATTTTTCTTATGTTGATACAACAACACATTCACATGCCTTAGAGCAACCATTGTCCCTAATATATTCGTTTATTTGGCCATAAATAGTGATGGGTCATTTCATTCATCTACTATTTCTTCTTCTTCTTCTTCTTTTTCTTCTTCTTCTTCTTTATTTATTAATTTTATGATGAGGAACCTCCCCAAGGTAGGGCTACATTGGACCCACCTTTGCAGAGTAAATCCTGGATAATTGCAATCACCTGTGTGAAATAATGATGTATTATTTATTGATGTGTTTCTATATATGTTACAAGAGACTGAGCTCTCTCTATTTATAGAGAGGAGAAGGTGACCGAAGTGTATATTACAATACATTAAACTAAGCTTTCTTGTGCGAAAGTCGAACCTAGGATGTCTAGGTTTATAGTTCATCCCAGGACCCAACCCCTTTGCTGGTAGGCTCATCCGTCTCCTATTTGGTTTCTAGACATTCTCAATTGTTATCGTCTTGATTTTCCAAGTGAAGTTTACATCATTAACTACTTTGGTTTCAACAATATCTTTGAGTGAGTGGTCTTTTTTTTTCCAGTTTTTGTTTCCAATCATTTGTATGGAATGGTATTTTTATCTAGAGTCCTCTTAGCTAGTGGACTTATTCACCTGGTGACACAGAAACAAATCTCAAGTATATGATCTATAAGAGCCATAAAGCTTCATTATATTTGCTTCATAACACTGATGGTTGATATCATGTAATTATTATTTTCAAATTGTTTCGTAACCATTCCAGGCAGAATTGATTGATCCAGCATTAAAAGGAACAATAAATGTTCTTGGATCATGTGCCAAAAGCCCAACTGTCAAAAGAGTGGTTTTGACATCGTCTATGGCTGCAGTTGAATGCACTAGTAGGCCTCGAGCTCCTGATGAGATAATTGATGAGACGTGGTTTTCCGATCCAGAGTTCTGCAAGGAAAATAAGGTACATATTTGTGCAATTGTTTTTAATTTTAATTTTATTTTATTTTATTGTATTTGGTACTTATTTGTGCAATTGTTAGTCATGTTCATTTGCTGTTTCGCTTTTACATGTATATTGGGCTAGTAAAACTCAGGCTACTAGCTCCCCAATTGGTAGAACCAACAATGGACGATGACCTTTTCTTTTACGTGTGATTTTATTTTCATGAATGCTTAAGTTATTATGTTAGTATAATGTTGTCATCTACACATGAATGAGTATTACTTGCATAAACTTACTTGTTACTCTCAAGAACAATGTTACATGTTACTTTAAATCTGTTGGAAGGAACCAAATAAAACGTGTTTGGTTGCTCAAATAGCCTTCTAAAAGCAATTAAAGTTTTCCCTCAAATAGCCATTTCTTGAGCCACTCGGTTCTTTCTCTCAACAACTCCATTTTTTTGTGGAGTAATAGGAGTAGAAAATTCATGCTTGATGCCATGCATATCACAAAAATTCGAAAACAAACTATTATCAAACTCATGACTATGATCGGTTCTGATTTTTATGATACGGCCAAGGGTAACACCTTGTTCGTTTTGGATTCTTAATACCAAGGATTTGAAAGCATCGAATGCGTCAGATTTTTCTCATAAAAAATTTATCCATGTGAAACGAGTGAAATCATTAACCATCAAGAAAATATATCTTTTACCTCCAATGCTTTCAGTACAAGTGGGTTCCATAAGATCCATATGAACCAACTCAAGAGGGCATTTGGTTGTTAAGCTATTCACCTTCTTATGAGGGGCTCGAGTTTGCTTGCCCAATTGACATGGCCCGCACACTTGGTTCAAAGACTTACCCAATTTGAGTACCCCTCGCACTAGTTCCTTATTGTCTAAGTCTTTGAAGTTGATATGACCTAACCGTTGATGCCATAAGTCTAGATTGCTTATGATGGCCGAGTGACACGTGAGATCACTAGTAGTGACAATCCCATAGCAATTGTCAAATGTGCGGACACCATGCATGACGGTATTTCCCTTTTTGTCTAAAATCTGACATTTGCCTTTTGAAAACAATACCTCATGATGAGAGTCACACATTTGACTAATGCTCTAGAGATTAGCCTTAAGGCCATCAACAAGCAACACACTGTCCAGCTTAGGAAGACTAGGGGCACTTATAGAGTCCTTACCAATAACTCTAGAAGTGCTACTGTTCCCAAAGGTAACAATTCCTTGTTCATACTTATCAAAGGAAGTGAAGTAGGATTTGTCATCAGACATGTGACGAGAGCAAGCACTATCAAAACACCACTTCTTTATAAGCAATATGAACAACAAAACAAGTCAAGTCACTCTTCCACACCCACACTCTTCTAGTCTTAAATAGACAGGAATCACCATGATTCTTGGAAGTGGTCTTAGCGTTGTGAACACCATTTTGGTCAATGGTATTCCGCCTTGACATAAAGGGTTCTCTTAACCCAAGAGATATTAGAATTTCTTCTTTCTCTTTGAGACTCCTTACCAAACAACTCATAACAATAAGGACAAATGTGGCCATACCTACCACAATCATGACAAATAAAAACTAGTTTTACCTTATTTTCATTGATCATACCAGCTTTAGGACAGTGGAGAAACTCATCATCATGGTGCATCTTTTGCTTCCCCTTCCCTTGAGTCCTTTTGTCATGAGATGTAGAGGCATTCCATTTTTGTGGTTTGTCATCGCAAAAGCCAATTTCATTCTTGTCAAAGCCCATTTATTTAACTTCAATGATATCTTCCAATGTATTTGATCCTCTATTCCGAAGATCAATTTTAGGCCTAGCACATTTGAGTTCTTCCTCCTTCTTGATGACTAGATCATCCAAAGCAACTTGAGACATCTCGAGAGTTTCAATCTTTTCTTCATATGTCGCATAGATTTTCAGTAGCTCATTCCTCTCAGTCTCACAAGTCAAGAGTTTTGCACAAAGAGCTTATTCGATCATTAGAGATCTTGATGGCATCATTTCTAGCCTCGGAAATCTCTTCCTTTAGTTTGACATTCTCACTCTCACATGCTTTGAGTTTGGTAGTGAGTTTATCATTCAACATAGATAAACTAAGAGACTCTTTGTACAACTTTTCATAGGCTTGTTGAAGCTCTTCACCATCTACCTTATCGCCACTTGTTAGAATTTACCATTCCCACTCACCTACTACACTCCACCTACCACCAATTTACCCTCACCTACTCCTCACCTACTACCCAAACCCTCTCCTATATAATGCCACTCTGATTTGTAATACAAACATGCTTTGAGTTTGGTAGTGAGTTTATCATTCAACATAGATAAACTAAGAGACTCCTTGTACAACTTTTCATAGGCTTGTTGAAGCTCTTCACCATCTACCTTATCGCCACTCATAGAGGATTCATCAACAACGACATCTCAAGTGGCACATTCTCCTTTTGTTTCTCTTCTTCCTTAAGAAATTCCAATCGTGCAAAAAGAGCATTGAATTGAGAAGAACTAGATGCTTAAGAAGATGATTCCATTCTTTTATGGAATTGCATTGGAGTAGCCCATGCATCTTTAGCATTCTTGCAATGAGAGATGCGTTGTCGCTCTCCTTCAAAAAGTTCTTCTCGAATAGTATTCAAGACCCGCATGCTACTCTCCATGTTTGCCCTTCCACTCGCACTCCACTCCACTCCTTAAAAGGCTTGACAACTTTCTAATGAGTTATTGAGTCAATCACAAATGGTGCTTCAAAATTTTCTTCAATAGTACGCCATCCTTCTGAATCCCATGCTCTAAGAAACACTCTCATCCTACACTTCCAATACAAGCAGTTACTCCCATCAAAGGTAAGAGCACGATGAAGACTATCACCTCATACAAATTCAACTGGTTGAGGAATGCTAGAATAGAAAGCCATGAAGGTAAACCTTCTTTCTGTTCTTCTTGGAGGGACAGTCGAGAGCAATATGCCCAAACCCTTGGCATTCATAGCACTTGAGTCCCTAACCTCTCACTATCTTCTTCTCAGGTTGTGGAACGATTTTGAGCTTATCATTACCTTTATCCTTAGAACTAGTGCCCTTGAAATTAGGCTTCTTTTTCTTTAATTTTTTTTTTTTTGAATTGTTTGGTAAACAAAGCTTTCATTTTGGCTCTAGATCATTCTCAACCTCCAGATTCTTAACAAGCTCATGACCACTAGAAAAAACTATGACTTCTTTTTGTTTTTTCTTAGAAATCAAGTGTGCCTCATAAGTTTGTAAGTTTCAGACCAACTGGTCCAACTTGAGGTTCTCAACATCTTGAGCTTCCTCAATAGCTGTCACTTTTGATTGGAACCGATCAGGTAATAATCTCAGAATTTTTCCAACAACACAAGATTCAGGGAGAGAGTGAAACAGGAATTAACGATATCACTAAGTTTTGCATAAAAATTATTGAACGCCTCATCTTTACGCATAAAAAGGATTTCAAAAACAGAGGTGAGGCGTTAAAGTTTTGATCTCTTAACCAAAGTGGTTCCCTCGTGAATCGTTTCAAGAATGTCCCAAGCCTTCACAAGTGTAAATACACTGGAACTCTTCCGAGGTGACGGAGCAAAAGAGGGAGTTGAGTGTTTTACTGTTCTAACTCGCATTTTGATAATCATTTGTATCCCATTTATCAATTGGTTTGGGAATTATGACATCCTTAATGGTCATAGTAGGTTCACTCCACCCACAGATGACAGAATGCCAAACTTTCTCATCGATGTATTTTAAAACACCCTTATGCGTGCTTTTCAATATGAGTAGTTTGTTCCATCAACCAACGGAGGCCTATGAGTAGAGTTATCTTTGCAGATTGAATCCATTATCACAAATCACACAAAATCGCACTCCTATAGCTTTGACAACACCTCAAAGAACGAGTGATCCGCTCTGATACCAATTGAAAAACCCTATGTAATTTGATTGATGACTTATGAACTAATCAATTCAATGCATTTCCAAAATTAGATGATAATCTAAATCATCTAACCAATGCGAAAGTGATTTAAATTATCTCTAAGCCATTAATAAATCCGACACAAAGATTTGACATAGACAAAAAGCCACAATTGGACAACTCCAATTGTGATAAAAAAATAAAAAAGAATATTTTAAAAAAAATAAAATAAACCACGTCCCAAGAAGGGTGAACAAATCCACTAAGAGAATAAGAAGATTACAAGAGATCTCACCAAGCTCTACCACCTATGAATTCACACAAGCACTTGGAAACTCTAGCACATCTTCATCGCCCACTCTTCATCCAAGATTGTCCATGGTTGAGCTGGAATCCACAAACTCCAACATAGTCCGGATTCCACCAGTTGAGTGCTCTTGAAAGGTTGATTTGATCCAAACCCTTTAATGTATGCAATTCAATCGATGTGAGGTGACACACTCACTAATTCATCAAGGAAAAAAACCAATAAACTCTCTTCAGATGCTAATCCACGGTTTCTTAGGACTACTGTTTGAGATATGAAAGAGGTAACCCTAAATTAAGCAACTGAGGCAACTTAAAACAAAACAGGGTCGCGAAGATCGCTTAAGCGTAGGAAATACCGCCCGAGCGGTGTATCTAAGAGGCGGTGGAACAAACAAGTCACTTCACTCAAGCGGTAGAGTGCACGCTCGCACAGTAAATGCATCCTCCCAATATCTCAGAGCTAAGCCTGAAATACTAGATAATCCATTTCAGAGCTCAAGCACACAATTAACCGCTTGAGCGGTCCAAGAAAATTGACAGGCTCAACAATACTACTCAAATGTGTTTGTTCGCGAAATTGACAAGCAAGGGACCTAACACTAGTGTTCTGCGCAATTAGCCCCATTTGGGGTCAAAAAGTCGCACACAAAAAAAAAAAAAAAAAAAACCAAAAAGTCAAAAGTTCAATCCCAATGGAAAAGGGTCACATTGTACACATCAACCAATCACTTTTTTTCCTCACAATTATTATCTTTTCAACTAAAAAAACCATTCCCAAACACATTAACTTTCTTCACCCGATAAAAAAGCCAAAAGGCCACTAAAAAAGGCCAAGTTCCCAAAAGGAGCCATAATATAAACATAGAAATATCATCTGTTGGGCTCGGAGAATCTATCTCTCAAATCTTAGACTGGGTCGGGTACTGGTGCACGCAAATTGGGACGATAAATCGCATAGATACATGTACCAAATAGGGTTCTAATTCAAGTAAAAGAACTTCATATGGACCTTTATTATAATTATTTAAGATAATTTGGGTCTCTATTACAGTAAATAAAAGTTTAACTTGGTCTGGTCCTTATAGTAGCTTTGTCCACTATTTGTCACCACTTCTAGCCATTAATGTATGCATTGCAGACAATCTTGGTTTATAAGCTATTGATTTGGAAGGGAAATATGGAGGGAAAGTGAAATTGATTCATATAAGTTGGAGTCATTGTGATCTAAGAAGCGTGTTTCCTGTTATGGAACTTTAAGAAAAAAGACTCACATTGATAACTAAAGTTGTCTTAGTCTTACCAGAGTTTTGTAAGGATACCTATATAGTGATTTTAGCCTGAAATTGATGTAGCCTAGTGAAAGTCATGGATGAAGTACATAAGGTGATTGGTGATCTTCTATTATGTAGGGCCAATATGACAGCTTTAATCTCTCAATTTCGAGCATTTTAATATGTGTTTGGCTAATTAGAGATTAGCACCTCATATGATCTACAATTGGAAAACTCTTAAATAGTCATTTGGATTTATAAGCTTTGTAAATGGTCTGTACAGCCCAAACTGGCTTCCCACAGATGAGTGGACTTAATGAAGGGGGATTGAAAACTTAAGACATTATACAGAATGCTCAAACCTCGGGTTATCTTTTGATTGTATGGCCCATTGCTCATACTTGCACTTGGAAATTTGAACACTAAGATTACTTCTGTCAAGAATTTAAATAGTCCTTTTATTTAATTAATTATATCTTGCTTGACCATGTGACCTACACCAATGAAATTGAAGAAATCTTCTAACCTTTGTTTCTATATAACTTTTACTCATTAAACATGTCAGTTTTCGCAGTCTTGTTAATTAGAGTTGTAGCTTGTACTAAACCTAGCCAGCATTTTTCACCATATTAAAGTTGTAGCTAGCTTGAATGGCTGTTCATATTTGCGTTGCTCCCCTATGGCTTTTTTTGTATTTGCTACCAGCTTTGGTATCACCTTTCAAAGACTCTAGCAGAGGATGCTGGCTGGAAGTTTTCAAAAGAGAAAGGTATTGACATGGTTGTAATAAACCCATCAGTGGTTGTTGGTCCTCTGTTACAACCGACGCTTAATTCAAGTGCTGCTGCTATCTTGGAATTAATAAATGGTAAGTATTTTTAAAATGTTTGAAATGTTTACCATCCGAAGTTCTTTGAAATGTTTTTCCCATTCACTTTGCCTTTCTGTTGTGCAGGTCACAAACATATCCAAATGCTTCCTATGGATGGATTAATGTTAAAGATGTTGCAAATGCACACATTCAAGCATATGAAATTCCTTCAGCCAGCGGAAGATATTGTTTGGTGGAGAGAATGGCACACTTCTCTGAAGTTGTGAAAATTCTACATGAGCTTTATCCTTCTTTTCAACTTCCAGAAAAGTAAGTGTTTGTGATTTGTTGTTGACTTTAATTGTACCTTTATAAAGTAGTAATTGCCTTTGGAATTGAAGCTCTATTTCACAAAAAAGTAAAAAAAAAAAAAGAAAAGAAAAGAAAAGAAAAGGCATTTCTAAATCTTCTGTAAATGTTATCCACGTTCTTTATATTTTTACCAATTAAATTCAGACTATCTCAGCTTGATTAAGTGTCATAAAATATGGGCAGATCAGGACATCCTCAGTCGACATATCTATTCTTTTGTCTTTTTTCCTGCTTTTTATGTTGGCATCTCGCCGGGTTGTAATTGTTTTTATACTAGTATGCAATTCCATCTACATCTACTAAGTCTTTAATGTGTTCACATGATTCTTTTTTCTTTTTTGGCTGTGATGTGATTTACATTTCATGGGACAAATATAATATAGTAGATGTGGTGAATCTTTAATGAGAAAGCAGTCCTCGAGAGCAGAGTCATTGTGGGTTTCTATCATTTAAGTGAGGCGATAAGTCGAAGATGCTTTGGTGCTCTCAACGATTTTTAAGACATGACGAGCAGCAACAAGACTTTATTAATATTAGCCGTTATTCTTTCTCTGATTATAACTACTACATTTGAACAAGTGCTTAATTCACTTCTGCTTTCAGAAGACTTGTCCTTTTCATTTGTTGAAACAAGTTTACTGATTAATGGTAAACTTAAGGTTCTTAGTAAACTCATTTATCAGGTCTAATGGTTTTGGTTTAGCAAGAGCAGCCAAAAATTTGTAGAGCTTTCTGTAGCCTCATTTAAATTAGGAATTTTAAAATGTGGCATGCACTGCTTTTTAGGAGGTAATTGTTCCAACTTCCAATCATAAGGTTATTGTCATTCTTAACTATTAGTTTTTTTTTATTGTTATTAAATTTTATTTATTATTGTCATATTGCATTGATGTCTTTCTATAATATTTGCTGATATTCCTTCAAAATGTCATTTTTCTCATTCATTTTTGCTTCCAATTGATGAATGTGTCTCTACAAATTAGTTTCAGAACGTTTGAATGTTCGAAGTGGCACATGAAACTTCAATTTGGCCAATTTCGTTCTGTTACAATTGGCTTTTGTTATGAATTATATTTTTGATTGGTTATAGCATTGTTTTCTTCCCTGATTTGATATGCTTTATAGGGCTGCGGATGACAAACCATTTATACCGGCAAAACCAGTATCCAAGGAAAAAGCAAAAACATTGGGCATCGACTTCATTTCTCTCGAGGAGGGCCTCAAGGAAACCGTTGAAAGCTTGACAGAGAAGAAATTTGTTGGGATGTGATCCATTGTAGCTATATGGAGGATTTTGGAAAAACATGTGATGGTGAGCCATAGAGTGTTGACATATTAACTTGTCAGTAGAACTAAAATAAAAGAAACAATAAAATAAAAATAAAAATAAAAATAAAATGTTGGTGTATTGGCTTTTATGATTTTATGTCTGTCATGTCTTGTCATGGTAACTTTGTGAATGATTTTTAAAAAAATGATGGCGAGCAATACTTTGTTGTGGTTGGCTGGTGTGGCTTTTAGAACTTTATTAAATTATGTTATCAATCCTAAAACTCTAAGTTGAACTTGCTTTAATTACTAAGATTTGATTGGGCACCTCATAAGCATAGCATTACCTTATGCAATATGTATTTAGACTATATTTAGATCTTGAATTTGTGGAATTTTTAATCTTTTTTATTTTATTTTTTTCAGCTCAAATTGGCTTGTCATAAAGTCTTAAGGTTGTTAACAATTTAAAACTAAAATATCTTTTTGATGCTATTTTATTTAGAAATTAGAAAATGAATAAAAAAAATAAAAATAAATAAGTAAGGGGTGTAGTGATAAAAATGAAAACAAAAAAACAAAACCAAAAACATAAAGAGCTTTGTTTGAACGGAATCATTCAACACAACGGTATGAACATGATACCAAGGCAAATCCATGGAAATATCTCTTTGTCAAAGAAAAATAAACACTACGTAGCATTGAAAAATGCATTTATAGCTATTTTGAAATATTCATATAGCATGTAGTACGACTTAAATCAATTAAGTATTTAACTTTTTAAAAGTCTTGTCTTGTTTTGAAAGAACCGAGCCAGACTCAAACCGAGAAATGATCAAATTACCAACCTTCTCTTCGGAGGAGTTAAAAATACTATGATGGTTCCGTTACTTTATATATTTATTATTTATTTTCAGCATAGCATATCTCAATGGATTGATATAATTTTTCTACTACGTGTATATATCCCGATAATAGTAGTGATTTTTCAAAATCAAACATTGCACATTATTACTTATCAACTATAGAATAAATTTGCTTCTATAATTCTTCCATTATTATGATTATTATCAACAAAATAGAACAAATCTTACCCCTTGCTCCAAGATAATACCCATTTATGTATCATAGACTAGCAAGGAGAGGGCTGACTTCGTTGAAGTCCACCTCCTTCATTAAGGTGATTGAAAAAATCCAATGTAATGCATGTGCCCATTGTCATTTAGCTAATATGGTCGTGGATATTGAGGTTCCACAAGCGCTACTTCTTAGTACTATATTTGAAGCAGTTGTTTGAATTCCTTATGATATGCAATTTAAACAAGTTCTTGCAATGGTAAAAAGGGGCTTTGAATATGGGGGTTGTTCTTATTTTACTTGACGGTTTTGAATTAGCCCCTCCTAATCGTATTTCTTCCAAGCTATGGGTTCAAATCTAAGAAAAATTATACATAATTTTTTTTATCTTGTCTTTTTTTTTCTTTTTTTGAATGATAAGAAATGTAATCAACTTGAATTCTTGTAGCACCTCGTACTTCTTGGTATAGTAGAATTATATTTGACTCTTTCATTATCATAATTGAGAACCTTCTTAATCGATATTTGAGTCATGGTTGAGGAGTTACCTTAATGGTTGGGCGAGGCTAGATCAAAAACTCCAAATTTGAATAGTTGTTTTTGAGTAGTCTTCACTCTTTTATCATTTTCTCTCCCCACACTTTGAATCTTGATGTGAGGCTAGAACCATTGAAAATTTCCAGGGCTTCAATTTGGACACAAAAACGACCATAAACGAAGTTCGAATGAGAGAGTTATGCCCGTTTGAAATTTGCGAATTTGTAATGTATGCATAATTCGCTCAAGCGCAAGTTTCACCGCTCGAGCAGTCCATAAACCCTTCCAGCTCTGTTTTCAAAATTGTTTGAGATACTACAATCCTTGATTCACTGCTCAAGAGCACTTTTGACTACTCAAGTGGTCTGTTCGAGATAGTATAGATACTGAGAGATTTCATTCACTGCACAAGCACAAATTTGACCGCTCAAGCGGTTTGTTTGGGATCAGATTTTTAAAAGTCACTTTTGGGTCAAATCTCATCACTTTTCATCCTCTATTCTCTCTCTCTCTCTTTCCTCCATTTTTGAGTTTCAAGATCTTATACCTTGGATTTCATCTCTTTATAGTGAGAATCTTATCCTAGTCCCTTATATCAAAACGAAGAGCACGGCGAGAGCTTCCTTTTAATCTGAGCAGATTGTGTTTTTGTCGAAGTTAGATTTCTGGGCTTTCAGACTTTCTTCGCTTCTTTCTTGAGGTATGGGTTTCTTTGCTCCTTTTCAATACCTTATTATAGATAGACATGTGGTGATTTTTATCACATTAAAGGCATATTTTGTTATAGGATTTTGGAAAGGCGTGAAAGGGGTTTAGGTTTTTGAATTTTTAGAGTTAAATAATCATATTTTGTGTTGATTTAGTAAATTAGGAGGTAGTTAATCACATTTACATTGATAGTGGTGAAAAATTCTAATTTGTAATTAAGAGTTTGATAAAACGAAAGGTATTAAAGTTGAGTAATTGTTGGGCTATGTGTTTACATTAATGAATTAGAGCTTTGGTTTCTAAAAAGAAGTTAATTGGGTCTTGTGATTGTTTAGTTAATCTTATATTGTATTAGGTTGTGGTTGTGTATCAACAAATTGAGATTTTGACAATTATGAGGGGGTTTCGGCTAACGGTTGGGAGTGTTAGAGATTTGGGAGAATGGTTTTGGTTTTGAATACAATATGACGTTTGTAATTCTTTTGTGTAATGAAATGGAAAATGGAAAATGAGTAGGAAAAATAGTTGTTTTGAAATAATTTCATTAGAAACATTAATGACTTGAAATGGTGGAATCAGTTGTGGATTTGAGTTACGAGAGTCGTGTATTTAATTGTTAGAGGTTTTGTCCTTGGTCACCGGTAGAGGATGACATTGTTGTTGTTGATGAATAGAATATATGTATGTGTCATATTTGTAGATTATTGATGTAATCTAGAATGTTGTGATATGATTTGGGGGTCTATTTCCCACCAGGTGAGGCCGGTAAAGCGTTACAGATGGTTAATTTCCTTTCCGATTTGTGCCTAGTAAAGTGTGAATTGGGATCCATTACCCTTTGGTGGGACCGGTAAAGTGTGGCATCTCGAGATAGGTTCCTCTTCCTTCAAGTTTGCACCCAATAAAGTGTGACCTGTAGATCGTTCCTATCAGGGTGAAGCCGGTAAAGTGTGTTATGTTATGTGGGTTGTTTCATTAGCATCCGTGCTTTAGGCCAGTAAAAATGGAAATGTGCATTGTTTCCGTTATTCACATTTAAATATATACGTGTATGTATATTGTTGTGGGTCTTACTTTTCACTTGTGCTTAAGGCTAGGGAAGGTGGCGGATGTGTTGGTGGATATGTGTGTGTAGTGAATTGTGATGTAACACTAGATTATGACTAGAATGTTTGAATGTGTTTTCAAAATAGATGTTGATATGAAATTCTTTTAATAAAAGTAGATGGTTAAAGAGAGGAAGAAGTGGTTTTACACCTTGTTGTGTTAAAGGGGATGATTTTGGGAACATGTACTTATATAAATATATTGTGGATATAAAATTGTCACATTACTTATATAGTATGATGTGGTGCATTTATGATCATAGCTATTTGTATGTTGTTATTGTTTTAGATCATTTTGGGATTTTTACTAGACTTTATGCTCATCTCACGTTGCTAATCATTTTTCAGGTACACGTTGAGAAGTGGTTCAAGGTTGAGGGGCCTTTTATTTGTTGCCCAAGGGGTCTTTTATTTGTTGACGGGACGCCATTGTTGTAAAAGGATTAAGCACTTTCTTTTTATGTAATAATGTAAGCCTATGGACATTTAATTAATTGTAGAACATTTTGCATCCAATGTGTATACAAAAGAGAGAATTTCTATTTATTTATGAATGTGAATGTATATAGCTTTTGTATGTTATTAATGACATTGGATTATAATGATAGATGTGGTAATATTATTCGAGTAATAAAAAGTGGGGCATGAAAATTTGGTGTTAGAGCGAGCCAAATTAGAACATTTGGGCATGGGGAAGTGATTTTTACCACAATAGATTTATTATGCTTGGTGAGGACGTTCACATATAGTTAGGATAAGTGTTATGATTTATATGTTGCATTTATGTGAGCATAGAGTTAAGTTTCATGGATAGTGCTAGTAACTAGTGAACTTGTTTTGAGGTCTTATTGGAAACACGCTTGATCAACATGGTTTCTGATAATAATTCCTTGAGAGTTCTGGGATAAGTAGTTATCCTTGTGGACTTGATTTGATTATGTGATTAAGTGTTTAAATTGTTTATGTGTAATACGATTGTGTTGTTTTGTGCTAAGTGTCTCTTGTAGCTTTGCGGTGGTGAGTGTGTGCCTCGGGAAAGATTGTTGTGTTGTTCACTAAGTTTGATTTTTGGTTTTTGGTTTTATAGGATGTTTGCACAAGGGAGTAGAGAATGTATTGGGAATAAAAATGTCAGTATGGGCATAAAAGTTTTGTTAGCACCTATCCTTGCAGCATCGGATATGGATGAGAAAGTTGCACGCGATACTGTAATAGTGGTGAGAGATGCTCTAGCTCGCAGTGAGACAGGTGGCGGACATATCCTTAAGCTTACCAAGGAGTTTCTCTGTTCCAATCCACCTGAGTTTTTGGGAGACCCTAAACCGTTGGAGGCAGAAGACTAGTCAGAACAAATTACCAAGACTCTTGATATGCTCAGAGTCAAGGACGAGGAGTTGAGGATTGCTTTGGCAAGTTTCCAACTGAAGGGAGACACTGGGTAACGGTGGAAGTATGCGAGGATTTCTGTGGGCACCACTTGGGCTACATTTACTGAGGCCTTTTTGACTAAGTACTTTCCTCCTTTCACTTGAGAAAGATTGAGGAAATAGTTTGTCAAGTTGTGCCAGGATGCTACTTATTTGGCATAGTTCGAGGCAAGGTTTACCAATTTGTCAAGGTTCACTCCAGAGTTGGCCGCAACGAAGAAGCATCGTTGTTTTGAGTTTGAGTGGAGGTTGTGTGATTATATCTGGGGAAAGGATGTCAGGGCTATGTATAGAGATTATCACAGACTTGTAGAGGCAGCGGCTCATGTGGAAGCCGTTATTCTTGATGTTGGTTAGAATGGAGAGGAAGGGGCCATATCGGCAATTCCAACTGTTTAGGAATGTGTTAGGTTTAGTAAAAGTAAGAGA